GATCTGGCAGGACTATGCAGCCAGATTGTCTGACATGCTTTCAGGTCTCCTCAAGTTGATCTTTAACAGATGTTGTCTTCCTTGCTGCTGTGGGAGACAGTGCTTAAGGTAGGGGTTCCCCTCCTGGAGACCTGGCCTACAAAATGCCTGATCGACAACACCAGAAGCTTCATCAACCATGAGGAGCAGCCCAGATTTCCAGTGAACGGATTCACAGAAAAGGGAACTGGCTGTGGACACTGTTTCTCTTCCCCATTTGTCACTTCTTCTTTTCGGGGTCTCTACAGCTTAATGGAAAACTAGTTCAAAACCACAGAAGCAAGGCAGGCATTGCAAGTAGCGAGGCAGGACAATTCCTGCTGCATGCAGTTGTGCCCTGATCAACGGGCCAAGCTGAGGATAGTATTCCCTGTCCAGTAACACAGGCTCCAGGCAGGAGGGAGCAAGGTACAATGGAGAAAGGGAGCAATGGAACAAGGTACAAGGGAGCAAGTTGAGATGAGTTGCTGTTTGGGCCAGCATCAAGGCACATGTTCGCAGGCTGACAGATGCAGGAGGGTCTGACCTGGGTGCTGGGCAAGGATTTTGCAACCTCCCCTGTTACAGATCCCCAGGAGAGCTCCTGGTCAGCACAGGCTGGGGACAACCAGAAACTCTGCTTCACTGCCATTTTCTTTTCTAAAGATTTACAGTTTGTTCATCGTTTCATAGATGTCAGGTGCTGGAAGGGACCTTGCAGATCATCAGGTCCAGCCCGCCTGCATAAGCCAACTCCTCAGGCCATCACTAAGGGAAGGAAATAGGGGTTTTTGCCTGAGTAAGGACTTGGAGAAGCCAAGGAAAGACCTGGGATCTGGACACTTAATATTTACCTGAAGCTTGTGACCTCTGGGGAAGGGTTGATTTTTTTTTTTTCCTTTGGGTCTGACCTTTGACTGCAATTTTCTGATTAGAAGTAACCACACAGAGAAGACGCTGCTGCCAATCACAGCTTGGCTCTACCTGCAATTCAGAATAGAAAGATACACTTGGGTTTCACTTCATCTGTTGGAGGAATACACTGCAACACCCATGGCCTTAGCAAGAGCTTCCAAAGACAACACTTGTTCCTCTGCCCTTGGCCCACTAGCTATTCCCCATTAGTGTTACACCTGAAGAGAGCTAAGGGCTGTGCTTGCAATCATGCTGCCAAGAGTTGCAGAGCTGTGGAGGAGGGAAGGTTTCTGGCAGAAGGGACCCAGGGCAGACTGGAACTTGGTTAGAGTCCTGACCTGCCTCTCTAGATTTGTAATGATCTGTGGAAAATTAAAGGCTTCTAGTACAGGCCACCACCTCTGCTACCTGTACAAAACAAGAAGCAGGTGCCAGCAGTGAACCTGTGGAAAGCTTGATGCAGCCAGGCTGCAACAGGTCTCAGCGCTTCCCTCCTCAGCTACCCTTGCCATCAACGCGTTCAGCTGAACAAGCCATGCAAATGCCGTCGATCGGATTGAAAGGGAAAGCACAGAGGAATACTGTGAACCCACTACATTTAACCTTTTGATGCCAGCCATTCTCCATTGTGCAGCACAGCCTATAAACCAAGGCAGACATTTGGCCTCTATTTTAGATCCCTGATACAACAGCTCCCTCTGAAAATGTTCAAATCACCGATGCATTCTCATTGCTTTAGCTCCTGCGGTGTGTTTGGGAAGTACTCTGCTGTCTTCACACATCGCATTGACAGTCATTCAAAGAAGGAAACTGGAGACCCATTCACACTTCTAAAACACATGTCCAAACAACAGTTACACCATTTGCTATTGAATTAATGGGCAGTTTCTACCACTGCAGGATCCCCAAGTGCAAGGAGCTTCTCAGCTAGATGTCACATAACTTATGGCACCAAACAATAGTGCCCTTGCTGGTTGCAGCTGAAATGGGAGTAGCATGCAGAACTGGCTGAAAAGCTGTGGGGGTGGGGGGGGAGCCCTTTTAACATATTCTTCAAAGCCTTTGCTTGTCCTGTTCCTGACATTTTCCAACATGCTTCTGTTAAGCTTGAGTGCAGCGCTGCTGCACTCCAGTTGGAAAGGGCTAAGTCAGTCTCTTAGGGTGCAAACGGAAGTGACAGCTTGCTTTCCCGCCATCTGGCTACAAAAAGCAGTATATAGACGTGACCAAACACAAGCGCATGGCTGCAAGCCACTTAAAAGGGCTGATCGTGTGAAAATCTGAACCCTCATTGCATGAGGGGCAGATGAAGTTGTTTGAAAACAGAGCATCTTCTGTCATTTGTCTGTGCTGCCTGTGCGGAGAGAGTCCAACCTGGGTGAAGGGCCCAGGATTTTTGCTTCTCTTTCACTGATGTTACCGGACTACAGACACACACTCCTCGGAGCTTCGTCTGGAGGCTAAGCTGCTGTTCTGGTCTTTGTGGAAACCCTTCTGCCTAGTGACTCCTGACATTTGCCTAGATGGGTTTTTCATTGGACGGAACAAAGTCCATGAGTTTCCATCTCGGGCTTCTTTCCAAAAAAATAATTTCAGGGGAGAGTGAGCAAATGTGGCTAATTACTCATCAGAGCCACAGAGACAGTGCAGAGCTGCCCGTTCTGAAAGGCTTCTCATATCCAAACAGGTCAGCATAGCTATTCTAGGGGAGGTTCTGGCTCAGGGACATCCATTGATCTAGGGCTTGTTGCACAGAAAGGGAAAATCCAAGGACGCTGTGTATTAAGCAACAGTTTGCAGACACTCCTGCTGAAGCAGTGCAGTAAGCACAGCTCCTTTCCATAGGAGGGGGGTCTCCAAGAATGCACGGCAAAGACTTGGTGGAACCACAGAGCCACATTTAGCTTGAAACAGAGGTTAGTAACAAAACACTAAGGCCAAGCTGTGGCTTCGGTTCTAAGGGTCTCCCTTTTTTGCACATAGGGGAAATAGTTGCAGATCAAAAATGAACTGAAAGGAAACTTACAGTAGTGCCTTGCCTGGCTTGATTCACACACACTGCTGAATGGTTACAACTGAGATTCAGTTTAATAGAACAAGGAAGTTCTGAGCTTTTAGTCTACACCCCCCTTCAGTACCTGAGCAACAGAGGGACAAGGACAAATCCTCCTGGAGATGAGATCCTCTAGGCCACATCTAGACAAGTGCAGCTGTGTGGTAGACGCATCGGTGATGCCACACACTGCACACTCAGCTGTGCTGCAAGGTAGCAACGTGGGGGTGGGAGAGGGTTTGACCCTGTGAAATCCTGGGGTCAAAGCCCCCTCCCTCCTCCCCAAAAATGCAGTGGTGCATTTGGGGGCAGTGCCCACTGCCCCAAACTGAAGCCTGGCTTGCTGGAGCCATGCTCTGGCTGCGGGCCAGGCTCACAGCAGCAGGATCGCTGCTGCTGCAGCCCCTGGAGGCCCAGTGCTGGCCCCAGCCCCTCCTACCCCACCCCAAGTAACCATGTGCCAGAGGCGCAGGTGTTCCCTGGGGGGAAAAGTAGCAGCAGCACAAGCAAATGAAGTTCATTCTCAAAGTGAAGGCTTGAGGGGCACAGACTGAGGCTCTGTAAGACCAGATCCTCTTCATGCTTCCAAAGCACATCTCATAGATCTGTGCAGCTCTTAATTATTTTGGATATTTGCCACCAGATCCGTTGCAGGATCCAAGGTTTCAGCTGAATGACTTCAAATGAAGGGCCCCTTTATCTCAAGGCCGAGTTGACTCTAAGCATAAGGACACTTTAAGGAGTAATGTTTCAGCGCTCACTCATTTTTTACTATGAAAAAAATACAGCAGCTCTTTTCTTTCGCGAAGAACTAAAGAAGCCCACAACAGGTTAGAAAGGAATCTCAGAAACCAATTTGAAATTCTTGAGTTCAGCTTGTGAATCATGTGTAGGTATCTGCATACCTATTAATGTGTGGCACCCATAAGAGGATCCCACCACACACTGGCTGAGAATCACTGCTATAGGACACCATTGCTCCTTCGAATGTGAACTCCTTTCTACTCCAAGACAGGAGGGTAGGGGGAAAGTGACCTTTCCACAAAAGGAAAAAGCTGTAACCATATCTTGTTAGTGCCAAAGCCTTCTGCTTCCCCTCTGCCAGCCCCATTATCACAACTGGACTGCTGGGGAGACTCCCATTACGATATGCAGATTTGGGACAGCATAAAATAAGCCTATATCAAAACAGCTGACATTATACAGCAAGTGGGAGGGGGAGCAATAACTGAGGTTTCCCTGCATAGCTTGTTACCAGAGCTCTACATCCTTGTTTCAGAACATTTACACATTAACTACAAGGTAGCACAGAACTTGTACCCCCATCAGTCAATCAGCCCAACACTGCCAGAGCCAAGGAATAGGCAGGCAAGGTTTCTTGAGTAGATGTGGTATCTTTTATTAGCCCAACTGAGTAGTTGAAAAAAAAAACACAGCTACAACCAGAAACCCAGAGCCAAGGAATGTAGCATTGCCCCCTACCCTCCCTGCTATCAGACCATATTCTGGCCTTAATAAAATACTTTCAAGCTTTATCTAAAGAGAACAACCCAAGCAAAGACACCTTTCACTGTGGATGAGGTTCAAGACCTCAACATGTACACGTTTAAACCTCCCTAGCCAGGCAACTGAGTGCCCAGGTAAGAGTCCTGTTTCCATAGGACAGTGCCAAATTTCTTGTAGGGAAACAGTTCAGCATGGAAGTACAGTGCTGCTAGGACTGTGAAGCATTTCTAAGAAACCTGACTTCTACATGAAAACAAGCACCCAAATTACTAGGGGAGCTGTAATTTTGGAGTGTTTTTGAACTGCGACTTAAAGTAACAGGAGTCATCAACAGACCAAAGGCCCAGCTTCAGAGAACAAGTCATTTGTGTGTAAAAAGGTCAGGATTCCAGGAAAAGGAGAAGCATTATGGTCTCCAGGCTTTCCAACCACAACCAAAGCACTCACAAGAAAACTGCAAAATCAGGGAGCATAACTAGTGTTTAGAAGCCACACAGATGAAACCAGAGGTTTGTAAGACAGTTTTAATGACAATAGAAAAAACAGTCACTGTTCACAGACGACGACCACGGCGACCACCCTTTCTGCGAGTGCTGTCAGAGGGGATAGGGGTGACATCCTCTGTGGAGAGAGAAACAGGCATATTACCATTCAGGACTCCAGACTGTTTCCACCCAGAACTCTCCAGCCAGCCCTAGGGCATATGAATCACTCTCTGCACACCCTGTACACAAGCCAGTCCTCAACAGCTACTGCTTCCTATGCTAGATCTTGCAACAGGGCAAGCTACTAATATTAGTGACAAGGGGGTTAGAAAATAAAGGACTTCTTACAATCTCATTATGCTGCAAGGGCATTTTTAGGCCTAACACCACTTTCCACAGCCCCCTGCCTCTTCTGTCCAATGAAATACATCCCCTTGTATGAAGCTGAACAGTCCACCCCACCCCACATTCTCTGTGGGAAACACAGATCTACAGAAGCAGAACAATTCACGTGCTCATTGGGTGATGGCGTAGCCGAAAGCTACAGACGTCAGCATCTTAAAATATGGAAATTCCCCACTTAAGTGGGCAGGGAAAGAAAGCAGTGAGGCAAAAGACTGCAGACCACAGCTTCCAAGGCAGCAGTACAACCACTGATCACAAGGCAAGCTCCTCCAGGTCTGTATGACACTTCCTTCTCAGGCTTCTCTGAGCCAACACAAAGCTGGGTGTGGAACAAACAGTCCCTTCCTGGTTCAATACCCACCCAACCATAAGCCCAAGACTGCTTCTGCAACAGCTTTGGGGACCATCCTTCCAATGACTCCCAATGGGTTTATCTACAGCCACTGAAGTCCCTGGCTTACAAGGCAGCTTGTTAAAAATCAGGACTAACAAGGATTCTTAGCTACCAATTTGCATTGGTTAAGGGCTCTCTAAAGCAGAGTCACCACTACATTGCTACATAGCCCAGGATTTAGCAGAGATCTTCCAGTCAGTTACCAGCCTTTGGTTCATACCTCCTGCATGCACTATCTACAGAATGGGCCTTATTTAAATGGCAAATGCCTGAGTCCCTCCTGGCACATAAGCACAGCAAGTTTTAAGGCTACACAGATTAAACCATAAGTAAACCAGCAAATCAGTTTAAAAGAAGTGACACCTTCCAGCAAAGCCAAAGGCACTCGGCCAGTATTGCAACATCTCCCAAAAAGTCACACTTGGGTTCCGTTGTACTAAGAGGAAGTGAATTTCAGACGCAACTCATTGTGTAGACTGCAGTTCCATTTTGGAGACCAAGCTTGTTAAGGAAAAGCTACTTGTTTCCTGTATTCATCTAAATTTCATGGAGTACACATCACTTACCAATCCGCCCAATCTTCATACCAGAGCGAGCCAGAGCTCGGAGGGCTGACTGTGCACCTGGTCCAGGAGTCTTGGTCCTGAAAAGAGCCGACAGGTAAAATTGCATGTTAGGACAAATAATATCTTAGCTGCCTTCCCCATATCAGGCACTTGCTACACTAGAAATGGATTCTCCACTATCCACTAAATGAGAACACTGTAATGAAGCATAGCCAACAATCTTCCAGATGATATTTGGCCTTAACATACAAAAACGCATAATGTAAAGCAGGGCTCCTTCGGGTCAGAACTGAAAGCAACTGTTAATCATGTAGGTATCAACACAGGTCCTCTAACAAAATGTATGATGTACATGCAATCAAAAGCATCCTGACTCGCCTAACAAGGCAGGCCCCACCCCCGCAAAGAGCATGCATTAAGTCTGCAAAGCAGCATGAAATAAGAGAACGCCAGGGAGAGCTTGAGATGAGAAATCTCCCTGGTGGTGCTCAGCACCACTATTATACAAGAACAGCTGCCACTTTTAAATGGCAATAGCAGCAGTGATGGAAATGAGACTATCGGACTGTGCACAAGATACAAAGCCTCATTTCCCTCGAGACCACCTGAAGAGAACAACCTGGTGCTCAGTCACCACGAGAACCTGTTCCACGCTCTGCCTGGCTGCATGCCACCTGTGCATGATAAGGCACAGCCCACCAGACATACCTGTTTCCACCGGTAGCTCGCAGCTTGATGTGAAGGGCAGTGATGCCGAGCTCCTTGCACCTCTGGGCAACGTCCTGGGCTGCTAGCATAGCAGCATAGGGAGAAGACTCGTCTCTGTCGGCCTTCACTTTCATGCCACCAGTCACTCGACAAATGGTTTCCCTGGAAAGACAATATTTCTTTCTCTGCATGTGGCCATAGGCAACAACAGTGTCTGGAGTGAGACCCCAACTTTCTGGTATGACAAAAGTGGGAGTATCAAAACCACGATCCTGTTTGTTGGGTACATTCACCAAAAGATAAGACTGCCTGGAGGCAGCCAGACCTAACATCAACCTCTGCTTAACAGCAAGAACCGCACCTTCTTTTCTAAGGTCATTTCTGAAAGACAAAGCTTTCCCCCCTTTGCGCCCAAACAAAGCTCCCCCACCCCATTTAAGTGGATGCAAAGCTCTGTATGATGGTGAAAACACCAAAACTGCCACTGCAACCCCCTGAACACAACAAGACAATACCTGAAGTGCCTAAAACATGCCACAGATAAAAAGCAGGGCATTACCAATACCCTGCAAGCTGCAGTGACAGGAAGTAGCTTGTAAATCCATGCTCAGAGGATGGAGCAGGAGGAAGACTATGCCCCATGCTGCAAAAGAAACCAACCCTGCTTCCTCCTAACCTGACTTAAAAAAACATTCCTTATGGAAGTGCTTGATACTGTTATCCTATTCAACTGTGTATAGAAATAAGCTAAAATAGTGATTTCCTGAACCAAAGGCATTTCTACATACATACTTCCAGCTTTTATGACTTGCAAGCTAAAGCAGCGTTGAAAGTGCCTCAAGAGCCCTCCACGGCACTGAAGTCAATGCTCAGCACTCACTTGCCAGAGAGATCCGTCACATGGACAAAAGTGTCATTGAAGGAAGCGAAGATGTGGCAGACACCAAAAACGTTTTCTCCTTCGGCAACCTGAGGTCCCAAGCTGATAACCTGCTCTTCTTTCTTCTCCTTACCCTTGCGAGGTGCCATTGCTGAGCAAGAAAATAAAAGCAAGAGTTATGGAGAAGCAACGAGGATGCAGAAGTACAGTCAGGAATCAGGAGTTAAAAATCACATTCCCCCCTCCTGGAATTGATCAGCTATCGTTTCTGTGGACTGTTGGTCATTCATGTTGCTATGGAGAAAAAGCAGCACTTTAAGGTTATATAAGCTGGCAGCTCAACTGTTAATAAATAAATAACATTGAGATGGACATGCGTGACATTCCAAGTCTGTTAACATTGAATTCTGGAGACAGAGGATTGAACCACCCAAAGTTGAATCCTTCCGAACATCAGGCTGTAAGACATTAAACCCAGTCTGATCTCTAGATAGGCAAGTGATTATGATAAATGGTTCTGACCTCTCTTGAACTTTAGCTTGAACTCTAAACATGAAAGATGCCATAGCAGCAACATTCAAACATCCTCTGAATAAAGAGATCTGGATACCCCCCTTTCAAGCCTGCAGCTGCACCAGGCTTCTGCCTGCTTCTGTTCCTGTTACCCCATATCTTCTCCACACTGCAAGTTCCTTAGGGCATGGCTGCCCATTCTTCGTGCACCTGGAGCTCCTAGCTCACTTAGGTCAATTCACAGTGGAAATCTCTACGCACCAAACAAGTGCAGCACACACCGTTTGTTTCTTTTAAAATTAAAAGAAAAGAGACGATCTATTGCTACCCTGGGTGAACCAAGGCTTCAGCTACGGGAACATGCAAAAAGCAATTCAGCTTTTGACAAAGGATGGCAAGGTGGCAGGACTTCCTGTACTTATTCCACAAGCTGAAGCACATCTCAAATGCTCGTGGTCTCCTTTGGTTATGATACGGTCATGTTTACATGGCAGCTTACACAGGGGAAAACACATTTTAGCAACTAGAAATGAGAGAGTATTAAACTATTCCTACCCTCACCAAGACAGTCTGACGGCCCTCTGTATGTCTTTAAGAAGCATGGCCTAGCCCTAGAGGGCCCTATAAGAAATGAAAACCCAATGTCCCGATCTCTGCCACTTGTGTGATGCAAGTTACAGGTGTTACTTGTCCCCTCTGCCCACCTTTTTTCTGAACCATAAACCTGATGTAACGCTAAATGTTTTAAAGTTTAACAGAACCCCTCACTGGTGATGGGTGCAAAGACACGATGACCAAAAAGCACATCTATGCAATGCTCTATTACCTAAGGGATTTGGAAAAGCCAATTATGGAAACACCCCCCCGCCGACCCCACACAAGCCCACTTCTAATGTCCTGCTGACACTGAGAGCATCACTAGCACCACACACTGCCACAGGAAAAAACATCTGCTGGGAATACAAGAAGCTTCCTTTAAATTTGGACAGATGCTACTCTAAACTGATGCAATCTCAAATTGCAGCAGAGGATGTTTAGATTAGATTTTTTTCCTTAATTTCTCAAGAGGAGGAGAGCAAAGCACCGGAGCAGGTTACCCAGAGAGGTGGTGGTAGACTCTCCATTCTTGGAGGTTTAAGACCTGGCTAGACAAAACCATGGCTGGGATGATGTAGTTGGGGCTGGTCCTGCTTGGAGCAGGAAGTTGAACTAGATGCCACCTCCCTTTGAGGTCCCTTCCCACCCTCATTTTCCCTGGTGCTCAGCATCCTGCAGGCTCTTTTAGTCTCTGCCTGATGCTCTAGAACTGGCTCGTCTCCAGGACCTGCTGGTGGGGCCCGACCAAGCGCGTGGAGCCACTGCCGCTGCGCTCAAGGGACTCCCTAACAGGTTTAGAGTCAGCAGCACTCCTGGGGAGGCAATTTCTTTTATTAGACAAACTAGATAGTGGCAAAAAAACCCCACTTTATTTGCAAGCTCTCAGGCACACACCCTTCCTCGGGCACAGGGGAGTGCAAAGATGATATCATTTCTCCCAGGTAGACATGAAAATTTGTCTTTTTCACAAATGGGACAACCCGTTTTTCCCTGCACACTGGCCAGGCCCCACCATGTCCTTCTTCCCTCTCCCTCAGCCCCTGCCCCTTCTCTTTTATATACATATCCATATATATATACACACACTGTATGTATTATTACCTGCCCTTTCCCTTTATTTATACACACACACACGTGTATATATATAAAATGTGTCTGTCTATCTATCTATATCTATATAGATACACACACACAGATAGATATTCCCTCAATCTACACAGAGGCTTCTCAGGCCCCAGGGACGCCAACAGCACGCTCCTCCCCAGCTCTACCATCTACTCGAGCCCCCGGCTGGGTTGCGGCCTAGTGCCTGGCTCCGCGCCCCGGCACCGCCCCGCCGCGATACCCCTCGATGGCGGCGGGGGAGGCCCCGCTCAGGCAGGCGGCAGGCACGGGGACCGCTGCGGGGCGCAGGCCGCGCGGATGAAGGCGGATGCTTCACTCCCCAGCGCCTACCTGCGCGTCTCGCCGGGCCACCAGCGCAGGAAAGGAAGAGGAAGGGGTCGCGGGGGCAGAGGTCACTTCCGCTCACCCGGAAGTGATCCCGTGAGAGAGGGAGGGAGGTTAAGTCAAGCGAAATACGTCACAAAATCCTTATTCACGCGACAGAGAGGTGGCACGTGTCTGCTGGAGGACACTGAAGTTAATCAGCCGTGGGGTTTTTTTGGCTTGGGGGAAATGATTGTGGCCCCTCAACGTGGCGGCGCGCTGCTCACCTCCCGAAGATGGCGACGGCCTGGTGCCCCTCACAAAGATGGCGGAACGCCGCCTCGGGATTGGCTCGTTGGGTCCCGCGGGCCGTACTCTTTGCGCCTGCGCAGCGCCCCCTAGGGGTGTGGAGGGCACTCCTCAGCCTGCAAGCCGCAGGGATGGGGCTAGCATTGGATTAGGGCAGCCCCTTTCCCTTGCTCGGTGCCTGCCCCTCAGAGCCTGGCTCTCTGCTTTAGAGAGCCCCTAAGCAATGTAAATGGGTAGCTAAGAACCTGGGGGAATGGGGTTTCCTCCTCCACTGGTAGCAGTAGTAGGTTTTTATCCTATATCCCCCCAGACCCTAGGCAAGGGAGCAGGTGGGGTGCACTGGGATGGGGGTTTCTAAGGTACCTAATGAGCCCCTTGCAGTGTGCAAATGCTCTCTGAGGCTATAGTATTGCAAGGCTCATCTCTGAGGCCTCTTAAATATGAAATGCTCATCATGGAAGCTCAAAATTATTCGGTGTTTGCTGAAAAACGATTGTATGCTGAAAGAGGATGCCAACAAGTGTGCAAAGAAGTCTTTGTATTGCTCACTATAACTTGTCAATGAGTGAGTGAGACCTGGGGCATCACCGTTGAAACATTTCTTTATTTTAAGGTGAGCTGTCCTAAGAAAGTGCTGGCAGCAGACCCAAAAGTTAGTTAAGACTCTCTGAGTCATTTGGGGTTTGCATATGCGGCACCAACTAGCTGCCTGAAATATTATTGTACCTTTTTGAACACTTTTGCTATTATTGATTGTACATTGTACAAGGGTCAAAATTATCCTATGAATATGATGGTTATCGTAGACCTGGCCGCGCTGCCCTCCAAACGTGCCAGCTTTCCTCACGGCGGAGCAACGTGGTACCGGCAATGCTCTAGGCACAGATCAGAGGCCAGGATTTGTGGGGTTGATTATCTTTGTATTGGACCAGCGGCATAGCTGGGAGGGATTTCAACAAGCTTTTGGGTACGAGGCACCCTTTGCGGGGTCAGGTTTTTTGGAAGAGTCCTGTAGAGCGTAACAGAGGGGCCTGTCCCTGCCCCAGTCTCCTGTGGGAGAGCTCAGAGACCTACAAAAAGAAGCAAATTCACTAGTTCTGCAGATTTAAATTCCTGAACCCAGGTGACTTTCTAGGTTTTCAGCTGGTTTCATCATTATTATATTTGTCAGGATTTTTCCATAAGGGCTGGGGACCTGAGTGGGGGGGAGCATCAGGGTGGCTGAGTTTGCAGTGTCCCCTCTAAATAAGAGAGCTCCTTCCAAACAGAAAGAGGATGGAGTAGCTCCCTGCCAACATGCAGCAAAAAGAGAGAAAGTTGGGGCAAAGACTGTTCTATGCTGCATTTTGCGGGGTGGAGGGGCATGAACAGCTTATCCTTAAACTGAAACAACCCTGAAGCTGAGTCCTGGTCCTTCTCAGGAAACAGAGAAGGAAAATGCATCTCAGCCCATCCTCCATTCTCATGCTAAACACTGGAAAGGAGCAACTGTGAATCTGGGCCAGGAAGCAGACAAGTAAGAGGAAAGATCTGAAATAAGTTCTGGGCATTTTTAATATGTGGCTTGATTTAATCTAATTCAGGGACCATCTGAAACCTAATTTATCTTTCCGACGTGCTGGTGGGAAGTGCTTACAATGTGATAAAATAGCTGGCCCACCACCTCTCACTCATCTGGCCAGAGACTCCTTGTTTTGCATTCATTTTAAGGAAGAGTTTTGTTGTTGTTGTTGCTTTAAAGCATCCTTCTCTCGTTAGGAAAGCTTTTGCCGTGTATTTCAGCGAAGCGTGTTAAATCTCACTTAATTTTGCCACGTCTCTTCCATTCAAATTCTCACCGCTTGACAGCCGTGGATCAATTTAGAAACGAGAGTGGGAAGGCCTGTTGGGATGAGAAATCATTGCTTGGCTACTGCTAAAGGGCACCCTTCCAGCCGTCAATTTTCTGATGAAGCATGCTCACGTTCGCACCGGCACTGTCATCTCCCATCGAGTTTGGATCCTGAAATGGAAGCTTTCACATGGCAAAGACTGTGGGGGGGGGGGG